AACACCTTGAGCAAAAATTTTGGTATGCTTGGCATGCAATTCATTTGTGTCAGATTGTTAGGTAAGAGTTTGTATACAGCCACCGTAGTTGACGCTGACTGAGAGACTTTTCGTTACACAAATACTTACCGACGACATTGATTGGCGATTGCACTATACATCGCGAATACGCAGAAGTTACAAATCACGGGACATTGAATTCTATCTCAGTGGCTGAGTGACCAACATACTCATCCTGGCTTTAGTCACCGGTGGTAGGATCATAGTTTTATACAGCCCAATGGTCACAAACAATTGCCTGGTTACTCCTCGGTTCTCTAACTGAAGTCAATCTATGCTCCAGCTTGAAATAAGTTAAATCCTTGCAAACCAACATTCATTGAGTTAATTAACAGTATATTGTCTCGTGAATTTTATTCAACGAAATGTCTGTTTATACACACCCAAAGCAGAGAAATTAATTCATGTTTGAAAAGTAGAGAACACATGCTGAGATTTCTTTTCTTTTTCTTCTATCCAGCAAGCGTCATTTCTCTTCTTTTCTTTTTTTTATCAGTTTCATCAGAGAGATGTAAGCGTGTATTTTAGATCGATTGAATACTAATCACCTTCATCATTTCGCTTTTCATTAAAAAATACTAAGTGCACAAGGATGTAAATTCACTTCCTTTTTTGAAAGAAAAACGAATACGATAAACTGTGTACGTCGGGGCTTTTTTGCTTCTTCTTGTTCTTCCTGTTCTCGTCTTTTCAGAATTTTAAATATCAAACATGCTGTGTTTTTAGAATCTGTATTTGTTTGTTTTTTTTTGTTTGCTTGCTTTTTTCAAACAGAAGAATGAATAAAGAAGAATTTGCTTCATTCACCTTGGGTTACAATTAATTGCCTAAAACGGTGGTTTTGATTGCGTCATACACGCATACACACTGAGGTTATCTTCTAAGACAACAGAGAGGAAAAAGGAGAAACTGTTTTCGTTTGTACTCTTCTCTTACAATCGTCAGACTGATATAACTTTCCTGCTATAATCACTGCAGGCTCTACACCTTGTCGTCGTTTTACAATTTAACGATACATCGCAGCTAATTTTTTTAACTATTATTTTAAACTTGTATGCTTATATGTATTCCGAGACTAAACTAACAAATAAAAAATAAAGTGGTGTTTATTTAAAATTTTCAAAATAAATAATGAATAATATTAATGCTGTAATCTTAAAAAGAAAGTTATTGCAAACGTTTATTGCAAATATCTACTCCTTTAAATCTAATTTTATTTTATTTATTTTGATAATAACTTGATTCCACACCGTATTTTTAGTATATGTATGTAATTTTCAGCATGTGAAATCGGTAGTCCGAATTTCGCAGGCCAACCAATGGTACCAGGTATGCGTCGGTAGGGGGTCGAACATCGGTCCTTGTGCATGGTTGGCGGGAGTCCTAACCGCTGTGCTACTGATGCCCTACTACTTTGAAGGTTAACATAAGATTAGAATTCAGGCACTGTGGTTAAGTATAGTCTCATATATATATATATATATATATATATATATATATATATATATATATATATATATATATATTATTTTACGTCCCCAGTGGAACAAAGGCCATCGAGCTGGAGGCTTGAAGTTTCGGTAGCAGTGGGTTTTGTTTCATTTTTATGGGATGGGGCTGCTAGCCTCATGCGTAACCTCGCCTTTTTACCAGTCTTATTACTGGCTTAACGAGGTGAAGCAGTGCGTCAGTTGGGGATCTAACCCCGGACCACATGAGATAAGATAAGATAATAGCTTTATTCCAAATCAGTACTTGTGATACAGAATGGAATTCTCAGCATTTTTACTACAATATTGCATCCAGTTAGTACATTAACAATAAATAAATTTCTACATAGATTAAAGTTATCTCAGTCAGTTTTGACAACAACATATTAGCATATCGGTAGCAAAGTCAAAATTGAATAGAGTGTTTGAAGGTGTTAGAAAAGTAGATACTACTAGCATATTTACTGGCGTAAGCGATAGCAAAATGATCGAGATATACAGAGTGTGAAAGAACGAACAAGAATGTTTTAAGTAGAGTTTGTAAGGAAGAGAGAAACAAAACAGCACATAACAAAAGTAAATACAGAATGAAAAAAAGTAGAGAGAAAACGTTGTACCTGTAAATGATGTGAGTTGGAAAGACGAGATCCAGTTGTTCTACTGACTATTTAATAAGTTAAAGGTTTCACGCCTAATGCTTTCTTTATCGCACAGAACACGAGCTAGGTAGGGTATAGATGAGTTTTTGTACTTACTAGTGCGGGCATATAGTTTTCTATATAGGCTTCTGGTTTTCCCTGAAGAGATACATGGGGAGAGTTGTGAATGTAGAGGGTGTTGTGAGTCAGATAAAATGGATTTCGTCCACTTTTCACATGAGTCCATGTGCCTGTCCACCAGGCGTGGTTGACGAGCAATCTACCACGCCGTGCCACCGACGCTTCATACAAGACAAGCTTATTTGATTTAACACATAGTGATACAATCTTCAATAATTGCATGATGTTTCAAACAAAATTTATTGCTTAGATTCACATTAATGCATCCATACAAAACTACCTAATATGATTCTCACTCCCCCCGTGTTTTTCAACACATTTTTTCGTATGTATGTGTGTTAATGGTGTTGCACGCAGACTTCTGGGTTGGGGCCCTCGGGACTCTAAGAATCAATGGCTGGAGACAATAGGTGACATGGCTCAAAATCGTTGTCCATGGCACAGATGTATTCAGTCTCTCTAATCTTTCATATCCTTTTTTACCCTTACTCATTCTGTTTCACTCTTATCCTTGTCAAACTCTATTAATTCTCTCCACTCATCCTCTTGTCTACCTTTGTGTGCTATTTGGAACGTGGCAACTCGAACTTCTGCACTTCGGTGACAAGTTCTATGCTGAATCCAGACAGACAGAATGGTGTTGCACAATTTGACTGTTTATGTCAATGAATAAAGATTCAGTGACTCACCTTTCTCTTTCCACTTGATTATACTACTTGTAAATACTTTTACCCTATTGTGCGGTTAAATCCATAGTTATGTTCAGGTTTTTATCCTACATTACTTAACCAAGTGGAGTCAGCCATTCTAGATCATCCTAAATCCCTATGTTCTGACAAAACGAACTGACCCTTCAAAGCCTTCATGTCAATTTCTGTCGTTCTACCTAAATTGCAGTAAAATGAAAGAACTAATACTAGTAATAATTCTACTATTACAACTACAAGAAACTGATTTGGAGGATTTGGGAGATACTTAACAATTGATTCATTGATTACAAAGTAGTTTTTTTGTGATAACTTGATGTTGGCCCAAATATCGCTGAAAACCAAAGGAAAATAATAATACAGGTACCATCAAAGAAAGTAATAAAAAAAAGTGGTGGGTTGTCATAATCCCAACTGTTAACACAAATCCTTCGTTGCGTATCCTGTCAAAGAGAGTTCAAGAACACTAACCAGCACCGTCACAACCTTTAAAGTAATCTACAAGAAGAAGAAGAAGAACGACCTGCCAAAGACAATATGCTTTCATCTTCTCTGCGTTCTCGAAGCTCTAGTCATTCAGATAGGGGGAACTGCGGCCCTATACACTGAAAAAAGTTATTCAACCGCTTCTACTATCCTGTAACACTCCTCTTATGTGTTGAATCGACTATAAAACGCTGCTCTACCCAAGAATTGCCTCAATTTTCTCTTTGAATTCGGGGCTGGAATCGTTTTAATCGTCAAAATTTTCTCCGGTAGTGGTTTAATCTCACCATTTCCCACTTTATGTCCCAACAGAGTAACATTCTTTTTGGCTATCTGGGACTTGCTTTTGTTGACGCGCAGTCCAAACTCTTCGATGCGTTGCAGCACGGCTTCTACACGGTTCACATGATCGTTTTCGTTTTGACTGTATATGACGAGATCATCACCATAAACCTCCATGTTTTTCAAGTTCTTAAGTAATAGCGTCATCAGTCTTCTGAACGTAAACGGTGCACCTGCTAGTCCGAACGGCATGCGTTTAAATCGATATTGTGTCTGACCCACGATGAATGCCGTCTCATCTCTATCACCTGGTTTTATCGGTATCTGCCAGTATCCTGAGCGAAGATCGAGAACCTAAAACACATTCACGCCTTGTAGGCGATCTAAAGTTTCTACTACTGTTGGCATGACACACGGCTTAACTCTCTCATACTGTTTAACCGTCAAAAATCAACACAGAATTTATACTTCCCATTCGCGTTTTTTACTAACAGCACTGGAGAGTTGTACGGGCTATCAGCTTCCTCAATAATATCGTCTTTTAACATCTCTTGCACTTGTCGCTACACTTCGCCTTCCAGATGACATGGAACTCTTCGCGTTGTAAATGACCTTACTTTCGGATCACTTAACGGAATTTCATGATTCACCTTATCGCAATAACCGTATGGGTCGCCATCTCCAGTGAACAGATGATCGTATTTATTAATTAACTCTGTCATATTGTATACCGTCGACAGCTTCGCCGCTGCTATCTCGCTGGTCTCATACATGTTAATATGAGCATATTTCGTGATCACATTGTTCTCTAGCGTGTCGATTATTGCACCAATCTCCGGCAGAAAATCCGCTCCTAATATCGTTCGCTGTAGTTCGGGTACAACAATGAAAGGAAACGTCACCCCGCAGCCGCCAACAACGACCGTACAGTTCGATCTACCCGTGATACGCAACACATGCATTGACTAGTATTTAACAACTACAATTATGACAACTCATCACTTTTTTGTGACTATCCTCTTTTGTGATTGGACAACTATAGAAATTACATTTATCGAAAAGAGCCTCTTCTCTGAACTACTACTACTACTTGTTTTGTACTTTTCATTGATGCCTAGATGGAGATTATTCATGAAAACCAAGGAATATTGATCAAGGAGATAATAGTCACGCTATGTAATCCTATATATTTACCAGATCATATATGGATTCAATTACCCAAAAGAGGTCTTGTCCTACATGTACCTGGGGTTACGATCTACACATAGTGTATGATACTACCCAGTTGCTTTGGAGTGAGATAGGTCGAGGAAGATTAGCGCCCGTGACCCGTTGGCTAAAAGCCAAAGCTGGAGTGTTGACAACCGACTTGATGGTTGAATAGCAATAAGCGCTAATTTCGAAATTCGACTATCCTAATGTTACTACTCAATTAAAAGAGAGGGTATATGCGAGTAATGCCAACACAGATCAAAAATCGGTCCAGTACTTTATAGTTTTCAATCTGATTCGTCTATTCGTCAACTATCGTTAAGATTAAAAAAATCACTAATCACCTCACACAGCTATTGACTCTTAGACTTTGATATATAGATGAGAAGACTGTAAGTTTAGTAGCAGTGATAGTATTTACACAGGAAATTTTCGGGCGCAATAGTAGCAAAGAAATACTATCCAGGAAAACTTAGTGTATTAAGCCTGAGATAAGTAAGACAAACAGGATTTTATTTGTTCAACACCAACGATCAGTTGCGTAAACACACATGTAAGCGCAAAGATAATCACACCGATTCAAATTGTGAGAAAATGATATAAATATGGTAGAATAATTTACCTATTAGTGGGATATTTGTATTAGATACCAGGAATGTATGCATGTGTACACACATAGAAAAACTGGAATTTCAGAATGAGATAAACAAAAACCCAATTATGGGACAAAATCAACTGGACAATAAACTGAGGTAGATAAAGTAAATCTTTTAGATTCTGAAAAACCTCACTTCCCTTTCATTAGTCATTCATCTGCGTCTCGAAAAGTGTTTCCCGGTGGATGTGTCACTCATGCACTCGAATCCCAACCAATGGCTCACGGATTTAATTCCCACCCCACTTACCAAGATCTGGCCAGTCAGGCAGTGTCAATAGCCTTCACATAATAGGTGAGGCTCACTGCCAACTGCAAAGAATTGCAAGCGGTTATCGCTGAGTAACATTACATCACCTTGGTTCGCACGATTGAATTCCACTCCACCCTACTTCAGTCTCGACAACTGAGAAGAAGCCCTCACAGACCAGCACAGTACAACTGAATTCCAATCATCCAACAGTTTCGTCTATTATAGCTTCATCACACTCCTTCAACTGGAAAGGATGCCTTTTTGTGCAAAGTTCTGGGTTAGTAGGTTATTTTAGCCAAATAAATAATAGACTGTATACAATTCACTTTCATTATTGCACGAAATTTGAGACAAAGTCTTAAACAGTCAGTTTTGAAGCATTCAGATATCATGAATTAAGAGAAGTTAGAGTTCAGGTGGTCATTGTAATCCAAATCAGTGGCAGAAGAGTCAATGGGTTGGCATTTTAATCTGAAAGTCTTCAACTGGATGCCTAATAGGGCGTACTGCTGAAGAGGCCTAAGCTAGGACGTAACAGCGGCTTGATTTTCACCGATTCTCTAGATAATGTTGGTTCGTGAAGAAATCTACACGGAAACTAGGTTTCCAATGGGCTATACACAAGTGAACCTATTACAAACCATTAAACATTGACTAATAGTATCATTTGTCTACCTCTATTGGCCTGTTTTCATTCCATAGAGAAAAAAATTCTCAGGTATTGGTTTTGTAGAGATTTTTGTTTGAATGCATGGAGGATTTCATCATGAGCTGACATCGGTTAGAGAATCACTGAAAAACTCATTAGTAAATGAAAATAATCAAGATAATGTGAGGGAGGAAGACGGGTAAAATTTTATCATAGAAAATATATAAAGCACATAAATGTTTAAATAATTTAATGAGCTTTAGTCGAATCTCAGTGCTTGTATCAAAGAAGACTATATCAACTATGATGTGGAAATTTAACACAGAAAACAGGCGAAATAGACGATGAAACAATAACACGACATAGTATGTGTATCACTTACCTATGAGCATTTCAAACATAATCACACCAAGTGACCACCAATCACACGAATTTGTATAACCTTTATGCTGAAACACTTCAGGCGCAATGTAATCTGGTGTTCCAACTGTGGAGTACGCCTTGAAAACAGAAAGAACAAGAGGAAAGAAAAACATTATTATTATATCAAGTGTTCGTTTAATAGGGATTAGATTGGTTCCAAGTTATATCACAAATTGACATCATATAGAGAACTAGAGAGCACTGGACAGCTGTTTCGCAACAGTTTAGGAGTATTCGGAAGAATGCGAATTGGATGAAGCTGCAATTTATGGGGTTCAGTCTCAGAGATTGGCCCGGTAACTTTGAAAGTCTTGGCCTTCATCCCTCTTTGGGTCATTTAACAGTACTGACTAGTAGTCGCAAACTGAAACGTCAATCCCTTGAGTGCAGCCCGAATGCGGAACAACGAGTTGGAAACGAGTCCAAGCGTGATATGGAGCAAATTATCTAAGGAAGAAATGAAAGCTCACGGGAATCGTTGCACCAGCCATAGACGATTGCTGAAAATAGTATGAAAAGGGGATGTGCTTTTAAAGCCCTATGTTCCACTCAAGACCTAAGGGAATAATAATAATACGACGAAACAGCTGTTCAGTATTCCCTGGTTCACAGCTGTTATCTAACTGGTGTTAATTCGTGACTTAACTTTTTTTTGAAAACAATATCACTAAGATCTGACCCATTAGAGCATGTATCAAACGAGAAAGCAACAATTTAGAGACAAAAATGGCCAAAATATTATGCTCAATTCTATTTAGACATTATGCACAAACAGTTCGTCCATAAACCATTAATCTGCAGCAAGACAAGTGATCATGAACCACTTGTCATAAAAAGTGTGACTAGACACACACTCTGAATTTAAACGCTGAATGGCATACACAATGCACCATCTATATGCGATGATAAGTAATTTAGAAAACAGCTCAGCAATCGCACTGCATGCCTTAACACACAACCACACAATAGGGTGGGTGGGACAGAGTCGAAGTTCTAAAAAGTAATATAGGTAGGCGGAGAGAGAGAGAGAGAGATTGGTTGCTGAATCCTGGATCATCGAGTCTACACACCCAACACACGCAGTAGAAGTGACTCAACGCAGATACCAGAGATATGGAAGATTTTATGAATAGTCAAACCAGAGGATAATAAATAATGTTGAAATGTATTTTCCAATTCACATCATAGCATTCTAAAAAGTTCCCTATTTTTACTGAGCAAAAAAACATCTTATTTCCCATCCTATTGTATTTTATTGATAACACTAACATTATTTCTGAATGTATTTATATTTTTTTTTTTGATTACAGCTTGATTCCACACTGGATTTTTGGTACAAGTATGGAATTTTCAGCATGGATATCGGTAGCCCAAATTTTGCAGGCCGACCATAGATATCAGGTGTGCGCCGGCGTGGGCTCGAACCCCGGACCATGTGCATGGTCGGCGAGAGTCCTAACCACTGTGCCACCGACGACTTTATCTTATATTGATTTTTATGCAAATGTCTAATATATTTCACTCATGTATATAAACAAAGCAAGAAAGTTTTGTGAGTGCCTTGATATGATTATGAGCAGCAATAAATTGTGCTCAAAACGTCGGTATCAGTAAATATTATTGTATAACACTGTGTGATTTTATCGAAATAAAGTTTTATCCATAATGGAGTTATACTCTACCACAGTGCACAAGTTTTATCCTTATACATACACATAGATAATTTACTTCTTATATTTTTGTGCTCTGAATCTATTGTAGCGATTGAAGCGCGTATAAGGATGTAAGAGTCACAATGAGGAATGCAACACAAATCTTAACTACTCGGAAATCAGTGTAGAAATGCATTACATTCAGCATAAAGGACAAGATCCCGATGTTCAACACCAATGTCAAGTCAGTGCTTCCATATGGCTCAGAGACTTGGTGCTGGGGGTAACATGGAAAGCATTTTCAATAGCTGGCGGCAGACATTTATCAACAGCTTCCTAGTTTCACGCATACTGGAGATCAGATGGCCAGTCTGAAAAGTAAGCAAAGAACCAACCGAGAACCTATTGCTCAACAAATATGCCGAAGAAATTCGAGATAGATCGAATACGGACCGTTGGAAATGTTGTACTGCAAGTCCTCGAGTGAAAGCCGAATAGGAAACGATGTATTGGGCACTCGAGAGTGACTTGGAAAAGATGAGAGCAGATGAGAGATGATGTGCAGTCGTGGAGCGAGGTGAGGCAACTGCAGAGAACAAGATGAACAAGATGGAGATGTGCTGTTGAAGCCCTGTGTTTCACTCGCAACACATGACATAAATAATAGTCCTACATAAAAACGTACAACAATCAATACGTTTTATGTGACAAGGTAGCAGGAGTGAAATGCAACAAGCGCAACGAGAGCAAATAGATTTGAAATAGTAGGATAAGCATTTTGAAACTGTTACACCACATCCCTATTATAAAACTCATAATTTTATATGTTAGTAATACTAATGAGAATAGGCAATTCCAGTGTGATTTAAAATATAATCAGATATAAGAATAAGATGGAATGAATGGAAGTTCTAATTAGGTAAGTAGAAAGGAAAAAAAGTAGTTTGAAACATTGTAAGTATGCTACCGTACAGTCTACTGGTTTGTTCCTGATGCTATGAAACCACCTGTTCACGTGTATATTCATTACAATTTCATAGAATAAGGCAAAAATGAATTGAACACGTATATATATAATTTGCTAATTCGTTATTCATCTCCTAACTATGAATACTTAGAAAAAAAAAAGTAAACGAGAATTATAAACTATGAAAACTTTAAATTCATTAACTTCTGATCGAATACATGATGATGCAAAACATTGAAAGTGGAAGACAAGAAACAGACAGCTGTCTTTGATCATAGATATCTACGTTCTATCTCCCGTGTGAAGCGGTATAATTCAGGTAAGAAATATTGAGGTTAGGCTTTGGCCGAGTGCTAGGTAGATACGAGGGGAAATCAATCGATGAGGCTGTGAAGCAGCTGCATCGATCAAGATGGTTAGGACATCTGTTACACAGGCATGCTTAGCCATCTCCTTCCTCGACAATGGGCGATGTTAGCTGATGTAGGACAGTTCAGGTTGGAAAAGAGTCAGCTAGCGGTGGTGATGGTCAAACCAAATCATGGCTTCATTAGTCAATGAAATCCACAACAGTTAGTTTAAGCCGGCCACGTAGGAAGGTGTAGACTTCCTGGTCGGGGTTGTCGGGATGATAAACACTAGTGGCTGAGGACAATTGGTGATATGGCTCAAGATCATTGTCAATGCATGCATAGCGCATATGCATCTATTCCTAGTGACTTATAATGTCCAATGAAACTACATTGTTCTTCCATACTGCTATTCTTATTGTTGCATATCTCTTCTTGTCCTTTTTTTACTTTATTCTCTTGCTTTGTATGCTACATGTAGGGAGTGTAGAAACTGGAACTGCTGCACATAGGTGCAAAGTTCCGCGTTGAAACCAGTCAGTCAGATGAGAAAGCATTACCAAACAGCTACATAAAACAAGAATTTCAGGGAAGAAAATCCACTTTTCAATGATTTTATATTTTTGACAGTAGTACAATCGTATTTACGTGTGAACTACAGTAGACAATAACAAGTAGTTCTGTTATTTGTGTGCGTCTGTGTGTGTGTGTGTGTGTGTGTGTGGATGTCTTAAAATTTGACAATGAGTGGAAACAATAAAGTATGATAATATTGGTGTAATTGATTATGAATCACATATTTACTTAAAGTATGAATATGATATGTGGCCTATACATTCTCTGTAGACCGGTGAAGAGTGAAGGCTGTGGGCATGTGACTAGCATTCCCACCCAGCAAAATCATCACCAATGCTAGTGAAACTTCAGAGCTCAAACATGAGGCCATGTGTTTCACACGAAACGCACAGAATGAACACAGAAAAGTCAAAACAAGGTCCTATAAAACATGTGAATATATATATGACTTTTCTCATGTTCAAATACTACAAAATAAGGTGGGAAAATACGAAGAATGAAGTGTCATCAGTAAAAGAAAAGAAAAAGTGAAATAAAAGGAGAAAATAGAAAAAAGACAAGACAACATGGAGTCGAAATGAATAAATAATAAGGCTGTGTGAATTCACCTGATTGATAAAACTCCGACGACTATGGGAAAGAAAGAGATCGTATAAATTGTTGTTTTCTTTTCTTCACAAAGTGGTCTGAATTTATGTGATGTATATATGTATTATTTCCAAAGCCTCGACTTCTATACAAAGCAAATACACTTTGTCCCACCCCACTTTGCAGACTATGTTAAAGGATGAGTCACAACCGACGTGGACATGATCTACTACTTCAACCCCCCACCCCCCCCACACACACATACATACGTACAAAACAAAACCACTTGTTATTGTCTATTGTAAAACGGTTGTACAACCAGTCAGGAGGATGAAATCATCTACAAAGGGATTTCTTTTCTCCGGAAATAGTTACAGGTTTAAAAAAACGCGCCAACAGTATACTATAATAAACTGTAACAACACACATTAAACACAATCCAACTATGCAACCTAAAATAAAAAGGAAGAGTAGATAAAGTCAGCAAAAAAATCGTTTAAAATCCAAGGGATACTTTTTTTGAAAACTAAAACAATTCAGTGATTTCTAGTAGACAGTTAACTAAAGATGACAGGGGTTTTGTGACTGTCTCTGCCTAGTTCTACCGCCTACGACAATATATTCATCCTGCTTACAAACGACATCTTGAAAAAAAGGTTGCAGGCATTTCGCATGATAAAAGAAAGAAAGAGAAGACACGATAGCAGATGGGAATATGCATCGAAGTCCGTTGACGTACTGCAACTATTATTAGTGTTATTACTTTAGTTGAAACCTTATAAATATTTAATTGATGACAATCCTATCATATAAACAGAGATATCTTTTATGAATAAGCATTATTACTATTATTACTGTCAGCTATGAGGGTTATTTGGCGGATAGTGACTAGCAGTGGAATCCAGGAGGTACACTTCGTCCTATTGGGAACTCATCATCTGGAC